CAGGAACTCTGCCTGTGCCTAACAAACTCTTTGCTTACTAGTTACTTAAAACACCTTGAAAGAATATGCCCTGTGTTTTACAAACGTATCTGACAGAACTGAAAATTCTCAAAAGCAAACACACATTAGAGCCGTCTGCATGGGAACACCCTTCCCCCAGCTGGACCACAGGCACCACGGCGGTGATCCCCTCTCTGGTGTTTAACCCGGCAGAATTAAGTGATACCAACATTATCTGAATGTCAGTGGACAGGCTCCAAGCTGAGACCCTGGAGTTTGTGAACTCTTGCTGTCATTTAAGGTTAAATGTGATTCTGGAGGCGGTACAAAAGGAAACTGCCTGCTTTACGGATTCGGGGAAGTCTGGGATGTGGTGTCCCTTTGGCACCACAGTCTGGGCCGGGCCCCCACGGAACTTGGCCTTGTTTCCATTTCCACTTTGTTTTGCAACTTTGGAAGTGGAAGCTTTTGCTAGGTACCTGGATTGAGTGAGTCCTCTCAGCTTGGTGTTACTAGTGAAAATCTTGGAGTAGAACAGAATGTAACATTAGTACTGACTCTGAAAATTATTCATGCTTTTTGTGTCTTCATATGTGTACTTGGAGATCCTTACTTTCTAAAGGGCTTTAAAGATATATTACTGTGGAAATAGCTTAAGAATAACCTAACATTTTTAATATTGTGTGGAAAATGTTGCCTGTGGTTACAGCATCCCTTCATATTACATGTTTCATTTTTCTTTGTCTCCTGTCTCTCCAGCCGTGTATGTTTTTGGATTAGGCAAGAGTACACCCTTGTATATTTGTGGTAGACTCTTAAACAGCTCTTAATTATGCCTGCTAGATAGAATCTGGAATCTCTCCTGGTGGCTGAAATAATTTGTGAGAAGCTTAATTGCCACTTACTGCCCAAGCCTTGGTTCTAAATGTTGGAAAATAATATTGTGATTTATTTCCCAGCACTATTAACGGGTGACATAGAGCTCTTTGTAAAGACAATGTACCTTTCCCAAGAGCATTTTATTTACATGAATTCACTTCTTTCAACATCCCCTGAGAGTACAAACAAAACAAATTATTTCCTAAGGTTCAAAATTGTGTTGGTGATGAAGTTGGCAGTGAAATCTGGCACTATTGACTAAAATTTAATATTCTTTGTTACACTGTGTGCCCATTAAAAGGAAAAATATAAATTGTGGTAATTTAAACATTTTAAATGAATTATTCAGTTGAAAGATATGGCTTTATAGTGAACTAGTTATTTAGATAGTTCCAGAGCATAGAAAATATTTCATATTTTCTGGAAGTCTACAAGTTCTGGCATTATCCTGATACCAAAACTCACAGAGGAGAACACTAAACAAAATATTATAGGTCAACTTCATCCTGAATAAAGAAATTCTAAATCAATATTAGCAAATCAAATCCAACAGCATATTTTTTAAATGCCGTATTATGACCTTAGCAGGGCTTCTTCCCCAAGGGCAGGCATGGTTCAGCCTCAGGAAGTGTGTTCCTGTTATTCCCTGTGTTGAGGAAGTAATTGATCAAACCATCCAATCCTGTCAATAGATGCCCAAATGGCACTGAATGAAAGGCACTTTAAAAAACCAAAGAAACCATTAGCAAATTAGAGATAGAAAGGAAATTTCTCTCTTTGTTAAAAATGGTACCTACTAAAAACATGCATATACTGAAAACTACATTTAATGGTGCAACATTAAATCTCCTCATTACAGATGGGAATAAAGCAAGGATGTGTGCTAATATTCAGTATTTTAACTGATATCCTAGCCAGTTATCGGAGAAGTCTTTTGTAGAGGAAAGGACAACGCTGTCATTATTTGCAAATGATTTGAATATCTCCCTAGAAAATCCAAGAGAAAACAACTAAAAAGATTATGAGAATTCATAAGACTATAATAATGACATATACAAAATCAACTTGCAAAAATCCCAAGTTTTCCTACAAACCAGCAACACTCACTTAGAAGGTAAAATGGAGGAACAAATCCCTTTTACAATTGCCACAAGTAGTATAAAATGCCTCAGAATACACCTGTCAAGAAGTCCTGAATGACTGGAAAACACACTAGATCTCTGTAGTAACAATGCAGTAGCCATAAATTATGCTGATTTTAATTTGGCAATAAGTATGCTCCATTTAACTGGGCAAAGACTTGAGCTTTGGTTCTTTGTGGCTTCCTCTGGAAGCAGGTGAAGCTAGCTACCGTTTTTTTCTCATTTTACTAGTGAGGAAACTGAGGCTTCAGGTAGTTTCTGTGACACAGCGTGTCAGTGCATAATTCACGAGACAAAAGCCTGTGTGATACTGTCTGAGGCTTGGCTTCCCGGCTTTTTCACACCAGACCATTTTCGGTATTCCCTTCAGGCCCCAGGGTATGTGAATTTCTTCAAAAATTAAACTGTGAATCGAATATCAAATTGAGGATAATTCTTCTTTCTCTGCTGTGTAGTGGATATTTTAATTTGTAACCATAAAAGCTCCCATAGATCATTTTTATTTTAAGTTATTTTGGTGAAAAATAAGGGGAAATGTATTTCCACTCTTTAGTGGTTGTTCATTGTAATTCCTCAATGAGTGTCGGGCTAGAACTGGAATTAATTTTGGAGTTAATGTCATTAAGCTCCATAAATGGTCTCAGTACTTTCCAGTTCTATTAGTTCTGCTTGTAACAGAAAGAGCATGGTACTTTCCTTGCAGTTTAATTTTTAAAGAATACACTGTGTCAGTTTTCTAAGGCTGTTTAACAAATTACCACAAACTTGGCGGCTTACAACAATAGACATTTATTCTCTCGAAGTTCTGGAGGCCAGAAGTCCAGTCAGTTTCCCTGGGGTGAACTCAAGGTGTGGGCAGGGCAGTGCTCTCCCCGGAGGCTCCAGGGAGAACGTGTTCCCCGCCTGTTACAGCCTCTGGCGGCTGTCCGCATTCCTGGGCTTGTGGCCACATCACTCCAGTCTGTGCCTCCGTGGTCACACTGCCTCCTCTTCCATGTGTGTCTGCTTTCTCTGTTTCTCCCTCTTATAAGGACGTGTGATTGCGTTTAGGGCCCACCTGGATAATCCGGGATCCGCTCCCTCGTCTCAGGCTCCTGTATCACAGCTCATGCACTCTCCCTGAGGAGAGCACATCTGGACTCAGCTGGAGCAGAGTTTGGATACCAGTCAATTGCTAGCTTGTTGGCCTTGACCAAGCTACTTAACCTCTTTGAACTTCAGTTTCTTCATCTGAAAATGGACCTAATACATACCTATCTCAGAGAGGTTTTTTTAATTTAATTATTTTATTGAGGTCATATTGATTTATAACATTGTGTAATTTCAGGGGTAGATTATTATCTATCAGTTTCTGTATAGAGTGCATCATGCTCACCCCCAATAGTCTCGTTTTTATCTGTCACCATACATATGTGCCCCTTTATCCCCTTTACCCTCTGGTAACCACTAATCTGTTTTCTTTGTCCACGGGTTTGTTTATCTTCCTCATATGAGTGAAATCATACCGTTTTTGTCTTCTCTGTCTTCAGAGTTTTTGGAAGAGTTAAGAGAAACAATGTTCATACAAATGTTACTTGGTTTCTTTTTTCTTTACTTACATTCAAAGCCTTGTTTTGGCTTGTCTTTGTGCCTTCAGAGCTGGGCACATAGTAGTTCCCCAACAAACGTTCACCGAGCAGTTTTCTGTCCTCTGAAGGGCAGTGTGGCATGGCTAGGATGCACTGAACCCCAGCTTGGCACAGCTTGGAAGTGATGCCCATGCAGCAATATCCCGTGTGTGACAGTTGAATGTCATTCACTTAGCAAACTGGGGAGATACCTGAAGAGCAGAGTTCTCAACACTGTGGTTTCTGTGTAAATGTGCTAAATCGAGTGCCTGCATGATGCAGGAAAAAAACTACTGATCCAGCAAGGGAGAAGTTAGAGACAGATGTAACGACAGAGCTCTGTCTGCACACACATGCCCTTCGTAAAAGACTGATTGATTTTTTAGGTCTCTGGTATTTGGCTCTGTGCTTACAATCTGTGTGGATGTCAGCCCTCAGAGTTGTGGACCTGTTTTACATTTCTGTGAGGTTCCCTCCAACTGGATGTTAAGCTTCCTGTGACTCACTGAAGTGTATCTTCCGTGGCTACCTAGTCAGCATTCGGGGCTGGTGATGAGGGGTTGAACGCTGCGTTCGAAACTTCCTGACAACAGAGTGAAGTGTTACATGGAGCATGAGCAGTTAGTGATCCAGCAGTGGCCTTGGGTGAGCAGTCACTTGGCCTACAATGTTCCTGAGTCACAGACTGTCCTGCACATCTCCTTCTGTCTCATCAGTGCAGTGTGTTGTGTCCTGGAGGCCTCCTGCAGGGACCGTGCATCACAAGGAGCCCAGGAATGTGGTGGGGGCTGGTCCTCAGAGAAGCCCACAGCCCCTCTTCCAGGACCTTTCCTGCCCCCTCCTGGCTGCCTGTGGGGAGAAGAGGCCTTGGGGGCCTTGGAAAGGGCATGGTGGGGGCAGAGAGGGAGGCACACAGGGACCCTGAGGAGGCGGAGTGTGGGGGAGGCAGAGCAGGGCTCATGCAGTCCCTCAGTCCTGACTGCCATCTTCCGGGCCGGGGTGGGTGTACCCAGGAGGGTGGAATATAGTCGCTACCCCTGTAAAACTTACCTGGTCCCACGGAGCTGGACTAGCAAACTCGTCTAACACAAGTTCTGTTGTCCAAGTCTGAAGAGGGTGCTGTGGGGGAAGGTGGGGGTGAGCTGAGCCCTCGCTGGAGGAATCTCCTGCCTGAGCAGAAGAAGTGCCCTGTGCTTAGGTTCATCTCACAGCTGCGTGGGCAAAGTCGAGTGTTCTGGAAATCTTTAAGTCACTCTCTTCTGTACTGCTTAATCTAAGATAGCTATTAAGGAAAAAGATCCTTTGGAATTACGATGACTGTGATGTTATTGACAGGTGTCAGCCAGTGACTCTGTTTTCATTTTGTCCTTAGTGTCAAATCAACAGTGCCTTGACTTCCTTCCACACTGCTTTGGAACTTGCAGTCGATCAGAGAGAAATCCAGCATGTCTGTCTCTATGAAATCGGTAAATATGGGTGTCTGTCCAGCTTCTTGTCATGAAATAGTCCGAATGCATTCAGCTGACGTCCAGCTGAATGTCCAGCTCTTGTCATGCAAGTATTAGTGCATTCTTGTGCACTTTTTCATTATTAATGCTGCTGAGTTTGTATCTCTGTAAAATGCTTGTTCCCTTTTTAATAACAGGACTTTGTTATCAAAGCACAATTGATGATACTTATCTCAATGATTCTCATTTCTTCTTTATAATTCATTCTTTCTAACATTTTGATTTTAGGACAGTAGGTAATGTTAAGTGAGTTGACTGAAAAGCATTTGTAAACACCCCATTGGACTGCACATTAGAATTCAGAACTATTTTCTCCTCCCCCCCAATCAGTGTTAACCTGAGGAGAAAAACATGGCGTAGGAGAGAGCTGGGCCCATGGATTACAGTCCCAGCTGTTGGCCGACTGGCTCAGGGACCTGGGACAAGTTGCAGCTGCCCTCGTAGTTCCCCTTGGAGTTACGGCACCTCCCTCGTGGCGGTTGTGAGCTTCAGATGGAATCACAGGAAGAGCATCAGGCAGGGTGCACATGGCAGGCCCTCCCCATGTGTTCGCTGCTCCCTTCTGTTTCTCCCTCCTAGAGATGAAGTGATGACGAAACGTGGAAGCATTTATTTGCCTAAGGTTTTCCCCAAAGTTGTCACTGTCAGTTTCTTGCTGACTGCACTAAAATTCTCCTGTCCTGTTACATTAGTAATTCCATAATCCTTTTATGTAACTGTTTACATTACTAAAATATTGGGAGCTGCCCAATAAAGAATATTATGTGTTTTTTAGGGTTTTTCTTGGTGAGGAAGATTGGCCCTGAGCTAAGATCTGTTGCCAACCTTCCTCTTTTTGCTTGAGAAACATTGGCTCTAAGCTAACATCTGTGTCAGTCTTCCTCTATTTTGTGTGTGGGACACCACCACAGCATGGCTTGATGAGTGGTGGGTGGGTCCATGCCTGAGATCTGAAGCCGCGGTCCCTGGGCCACCAAAATGGAGTGCACAAACTTAACCACTACACCACCAGGCTGCCCCAACAATATGTTTTAAATGCCTCTTATGGTTTAGGGAGGGGATATGAGGTATAATCCAGTGGAAAATGTATTTTTATATAGTCTGTTGAGTAGCCATAACGTAGAATAGTGTGTATTTCAAGAACTTGAATTAAAGGGCCTAGATTTAGTGGCCTTTTTTTCCTCTTAAGATCCTGGTATCTTTGTTTTTTCTTCCAGTTTTGTTGAGATATAGTTGGCATATAGCATGGTATTACTTTAAGGTGGACAACACAATGATTTGATATGTGTGTATATTGTGAAATGGTTATAGTGGCCCTTTTTTTGTGTACATTTCCAGGTTTGTTAGAAAGCTTCAAAATCATTGAATCCAACACTAAGGCCTTAGGAAAGTTAACTTGGGGGAGAAAAGTAGCAAAATCAGAAATCAGGCGGCTTATTCAGGTTCAGTGCTGCCTCCCACCTCTATTTTGCATTTAATTCAAATCTTCTCTTGATATCTGTTACACAATGGAAATAACTAACCCCCATTTTTACTCCAAAATATGTCAATTTCATATCCTATCCCATAGAATTTGACACTGAGTTTTCCAGAAGCGTAGATTGCCTCATCCCTATAGTTCAAATGGCAGGTCCAAGATGCCACAACTACTTGTGATGCACCTGATACCAGAATTGTGTTTTATGGAGACAAGATCATGGATGGGAGAGAGTAATGGCCTTCAGTCCTCAGTTCTTCCTTGTTAGCTGCGTGGCCTTGGGCAAGTCACATAAGCTCTTCATGCCTTAGGTTTTCTCCTTGGTGAAATAAGGACACCATCAGCCACATTTGTGAGGCTCTAGCCAGATTAGAGAGAATTTATAGCAAGCTCCTGGCCCAGGCCTTGGCACACAGAGGGTACTATTGTAACCGTGGGAATAAATTCCTTGCATGTTCATTGTTGCCACTTCTTATCAGAATGCCAGTCTACAGTGTTTTGATCCAGGAAAGATGGGGTCCTTTCTCAGCTCCACTGCCAGCTTGCAGAGGGAGGGTGGGAAAGTATTTACTTTCTGACTGCTCTCTTCTTCACACAATGATTTGAGAATTAATAGTAATCATTAAGGAGCAGGTGAGTGCTTTAAGACTTTTTGAGGTGGTCACTATACATAGAATCTGATGGTATTGTTTTTCTGTACCGGGGCCTATTGCGTACTTGGGTTAATCTCACAACTGGAGGAAACAAACTGGAGTGTGTTCATAGAAATCTTTACACCACTTTCTTCTATACTGCTTAATTGGTTGTAAAATAGAAATGCCCTGTTGTCCTCAAAATGTCACACTGAAAATATTTAAGAGAAAAAAGATCAGTTTTTAAGTTTTCAGGTAGTGCACATACACCACTCACAGAGAAGGACAGTCAGCAGTATCAAAGGTTTGTAGCTTAAAGATGGGATATTGAAGCTCACTACTATAGGGTTGTATCCTAAAAATGTTTCTTTCATAGGTTGGTGCAGCATGATAGAGCTGAATTTCAAGGATGCATTTGATTCCTTTGAGAGGCTAAAAAATGAGTCCCGGTGGTCACAGTGCTATTATGCCTATTTAACTGCGGGTGAGTAGACCTCTTCTGTCCTGAGTTGGGTCACATGTGTTGGCGGATGGGAGAATGACAGTGGGAAGATGCAGAAGTTGTGTTCTTCCTCAGTGTTCCCCAGCATATTAATGTCTTGTGCTACTGAGTAAATAGCAGCTGAATACAGTGTTCACTGACCCAGCTGAGCACAGTCTCTTCAGTTCTGCATGCCATGCCCCTCCCCCACTCTCCCACTCTGAGCTGGTTTAGTCACATGCTCTGTCTTGGAAATGCTTATTGTGAAATTCTCCCTATTTTTGTGCATTTTGCTCTAAGTAGCCTCAGCCTACCCTTACCTCTCTCCTTTAGTTTCTATGATATATTTTTTATTTATTAGGAATTTAAAGAATTTTTAAGATGGTAATGTGTCTCTGTAATTGTATTAATGTTTTTGTTTGGATCGTCAGTGCTTTGGTTACAAAGTTGCACAGATTTCAGAGTAGTTGGCTCTAACCTGTTTGACGTATTAACTCTGTTACAGTTACACTGTGATTTTGCATAACACAAGGTATTTTTACACTGTGTATCGTTATAGCAGAAACACCTCTAATTTCTGATAGAAATATGAGAGTTCCTTGCCTTTAAGCCCTTGTATAAGGAGGTAGGTAAAGATATGCTGCCACCTGGTGGACAAAAGGGTTATCTGTGCCTGAGCGACATGCAGTGCAGTTGTGACCTGTAATTGTAGAGGTGGGAATTGAAGAGACCCATGCAGTGGTTGTACATTTTCTGCCTCTAACAATGAGTTGTCCTTATGCAGCTATATAAGTCATTCTTTTACTTTAAATTTAAGACTAATCCAAACATTATTTTAAATATCTCCGTATTTCTCAGAGTATTTGGATTTAATGAAACATCTCTTGTCGTTCCATCCTCTTAACTGATCTACTTAAAATAAGATAGAATTAACAGTGGCCAGTATGTAGATCCTGGATGTTCTAAAACTGCAGTCCCTTAGCGATCAGTATGAAATCCTCTTATAGCCACCCACCTCACTACAATCCCCGCAGGGCATCCATTTCATATGGTTCTGTAGCTAATGTTTGAATAGGATTATTTTCAATATCCTGGTTAGTACACCGTGTCTCACACTTTAAGAGTTGTTTTATAGAATTCACAGCCATCTCAGATGAAAATAGCAACTGTTTAAGGAGCGACCTTGGTGTACCCAACACATTGAGAGGTGGATGAACCAAAAAAAAGAGGCCTGCATGACAGCTCGAGGATCGTTAAGGTGTAATTGAGTCACATGGTCAATTATGGGCAGGTATTTCCCTTCTAATCTTTGTTGAGCATAGAACATGAAGAAGTAAATGCACAATGTGACTATACAGAGGAGCATTTATTCTGCAATATTGGAAATCTTATGAAATGCCAGTTGTAGGAGATGATAAAGCATGAAAGACTCTAGTCTCTGCTCTCCAAGGGGATTTTATGCAGGTGATAAGACGAGTGTGAATAGTGCCACCACAGAGAGTTCACGGGAGAGGGAAAGACGCTTCTGTCAAGCTGTCAGAGGAGGCGTCTTGCAGGAGCTGCCATCGGACTTGGCCCTGAAGGACAGGTCCACGTGGACAGGCAGAGCTGGAGAGGATGGGCCTTCAGGGACCAGAAACACTGCCACCAGCGGCCTAGTTCCTTGCAGTATTTTTTTAACTGTGGTAAAATATACATAACTTAAAATTGACCATGGTAGCCATTTTTAAGCGTATAGGTCAGTGGCATTAAGTATGTTCACACTGTCAGGCAGCCATCGCCACCATCCATCTCCAGAACTTTATCATCCAGAACTGAAACTCTGAACCCACGAAACAATAACTCTCCGTTCCCCCCCTCAACAGCCCCCAGCAACCACCATTCTCCTCTCTGTCTCTATGAATTTGACTATTTTAGGTCCCTAAGATAAGTGAAATCATACAATATTTGTCCTTTGTGTCTGGCTTATTTCACTTAGCATAATGTCTTCAAGGTTCATCCATGTGGTAGCATGTTTCAGAAATTTCCTCATTTTTAAGGCTGAATAATATTCCATTGTATGTATATACCACATTTTGTTTATCCATTTATCTGTCAGTGGACATTTGGGTTGCTTCCACCTTTTGGCTACTGTGAATAATGCTGCAATGAACATGGGTTTCTTGGAGACCCTGCTTTCAGTTCCTTGGGTTGTGTACCCAGAAATGGAATGGCTGGATCATATCCCTGTACGATTCTTGCAACTTTTCAGTAAGTTTGAAATTATATAAGAAGTTACCGAAAAAGGTTAGACTATCACTTATGGAATGGTATAAACTTAGTCTTAATGGAAGAGCCAAGCATTCTAAGTTCTGTTTAGGTCTCAGATTTAGGATAAATCAGAGATGCTCATGCTTTCAAACATCTGCATCTTTTAAAGCAGCTGTCTGTAACTGTACTGCAAGAGGGATCGGTGGTGTGTATTCTTGAGGATCTGAGGCGTTAGTGCTGTAGAGCTTCAAAGGGGGTCAGATCTGATTCCATTGCTGTTTATGGCACATGGGAGGGCTTGTGCGCACACTCTCTCATTCTTGCTTGCACACTCACTCTGTTTTTTAAATTGTGTGACTCTGTAAGAATGTTATAAATTTTCTGAAGAAGACCTCAAGCTAGGGGTAGCAGAAATTTTCTTTTTCATTGGTTTACTGTGTGACCTTAGGCAACTCTTTTAACTTTTCTGGACCTCTGTATCCTCTGATCTATGATGATGGGGTTGGTTTACAAAACAACCACTGAGCTTCCTCCTGATTTTGAAATGTTATAGCTGGAACTGATGAGGTCATTTTAGATGGCTTCAGACCCCCACATCTGGACCAGGGCTGCTCCTGTAACTGGGAATGGGATTGTCCCTCCCTTTGAATATTCAGCTTAACCCCTCTGACTCCCAGTAGAAATCTTCTGCCTTTCCCATAACCTCCATGTCCTCAGCTTTCTCTAAGCCTTGCTGCTTCTGCTTCTTTGGCCCTGCCAATAGCAGCCCACCCTCTCACATGCCATGGCCCTGTGCTCTGCTTGACGAAGCCCAAAAATGTGAGTACAGGACCACCTAGTTTGGGGTGCTTGAATGAAGAAGGAGGAACCAGCAAACCAACAGACATTCCAACTGAGGATTGAAAAACATCTAACAAAGGCAAACATCTCACAAAGATAGCATCTAACAAATAATTAATAGAAATGAATTCTGTGCCATAGGAGTTAAGAAAACGATGACAAAGAGTGGTTGGCAAATTTTTTTTAAGGAGGTGGGACTGAAGCTGGTATGCAGTTCGGAGAAGGCAGAGAGCAGGTGAAACAAAGGGAGGATGATTAAGTCTTTGCCTGGAGCTTGGGTGGGATGAAGATGGTGTGCAGACCATCCTCCCAGGCTCAGCTGGACTCCTATCTTCTCAAAGCTTTCCTCATCTCTCCAAAGCGAAATGGTCCCTTCTCTTTCTGAGCTTTTCCAAAAGCACTTTGGTTCTCCAACTCTAAAGGCTCGTATCACTCTGTACACTGTAGCTATGGGACCGTGTGTGTGTCTTCTCTCTCCAGCTGAAATTTACGTTTCTTCAGGGTGCAAGTTTATGTGTTTCTTCACATTCTTACTGGTGGCTTGTCAGTGGTAGGTGTCCAACGAACCTGTGTGAGACTTATTCATGACTTTCTTTCCAGGCACAGAAATGTCCTCTTTCTGTAGTGAAGCTGTCATGATCCTCTTGGCTCCTCATTGTTCTTTCCTAGATTTCTCTTTGTTCCACATTCTAAGCATGTGGGTTCCCATTAGACTGTACACTGTGACAGCAGCTGGGGATTTTGTTGCATACGAGACCATCTCCCCAACAAAAAGACTAGCGCCATGGCTTTCCCATCTGTCTCACCAAAGCTCTGGGAGCCCAGCACCTAGGAAACAGTTGTTGAATAAATGGAATGACTATCAACAGGATGGTGTGGTCCTTTGTGTAGCAGTCTTTTTAAATATATTTGCTCCCATTTTTTCTTTGGTAACATTTTCCAAGTACCATCAACCTAGGTAGCCCTTAGTGGCATCTGCCCCCTAATGCTTAAGAAATACAATGATGGTTTCTTACAGTTTGTCAAGGAGCCACTGGTGATGTGGATGGGGCACAGATTGTCTTTAAAGAAGTTCAGAAACTCTTCAAGAGGAAAAACAATCAGATTGAACAGTTCTCAGTGAAAAAGGTATGTTGGAGCCTATTGACCTGGTGGATTATTTATGATGGGCAGTTGTAACCAACACTACCTTAGAAAGGTTTTAGGAAGTCATATTAAAAGCTGGTGACTTACTTGTCTTGCAAATGTAGTTCACCACTGTGGGGAGAATTTATTCCCATGGTCGTACTCTGTCCTGCATGGAAAGTGCTTCTTTTGCTGCAAAGAATTAAAGCAGTTGTTTTTTTTCAACAAGGAGAGACATTACAGACCGTGTAGAGCTAATGAGCATATCTGGAGAGGGAAAGCGTCTTTCTAAAGAGTTTCAGAAGGATACGGATTGGCAGAACCTGGGCAAGAGATACAGACTGCTGGTCTTGATATTGTGAATATGTCACATTTTAACCTAATAAAGAACAAAAGTGTGCACAAAATTCACCAGCAGAATGTAACTACAGTCCTTGGCCTACGTCCCTAATTTATTTTATACTTTTAAGAATATAATTTAGCTGAATTATCATGGGTTATATTGACAATTTGTCATATCCTGAATTTTCCATGATTTTAGTTTTATAAGTTTTTATTGAATGAACGTTTAATGACGTGGTTCGAGTATGAACTAGACTGTGGTATGGAATGCCACTGAGAGCACTCAGTAAGTAAAAAGTAAAAAAGTCAATAAAACCATAGCTGAAAGTCATCCAGTATTCCATCCTCCATGTAAACCCATGGAGTCACCCAGCGCTATAAATTCCTTTGATTTGGACTCAAATGAATCTAGTTTCATCCCCAAGTTTTCAAAATATACCCTGTATCTTGATAGTAGATGAGTGAAATAATGAATAGAAGGCATGGCTACCAATATATTAAAAATTGGAAAGCAAAATTTTTTTATAGAGAGAGAAATTTGCATTTTCACCTTTGTAGGAGGGTGCTGTTCATGTTAAATATGAACCATGCACTTTCAAATATCTCCAAAGTATATTTTTTTAATTTGAATTTGTTTTCAAAATAATGTAGCCTAATCGTTCTGACTCCTCGCAGGCGGAGCGGTTTCGGAAACAAACCCCGAGCGCGGGGCTGTGTGTGCTGGCGTCCATCGAAGTGCTGTACCTGTGGAAAGCCCTTCCCAACTGTTCCTTCCCCAACCTCCAGAGGATGAGTCAAGGTAAAACCACGCTGTGCTCCTCGGCTCGTTCCTTGAGTTCTCTTTACTATTATCTGATTCACAGAGAACACATCTGCTGTTCCTGGATGAATGACGCAGAGATTGAGAAAATTCAGTCTCTTAGGTGACAGGAGTAGGAAGCCCTGGAATGTACAGACACGCGTTGTTAGCAGCGTATGGTGATGCACTGAGTGTAAATGTTATTAATGCTACAGCATACATTTTTTCCCAGTGAAAGCCCTTTGTTTCATTTCGGTTCGACTCACATTCATTAAAATGCACAGATACTAAGTGTACAGTTCAATGAGTTTTGACAAATACATACACCATGGCATCTGCCACCAAAATCAAGAACAGAACATTTCCACCGCCCCTAGAACTTCCCTTGTGCCCCTTCTCAGTCCGTCCCCATGCCAAGGCATCCACTGTTCTGATTTCTCTCTCCAGGGATTACTTTTGCCTGTCCTTGAACTTGGTGTAAGTGGATTCAGACAGTGTGTACCTTTCAGTGCTGGGCTCCATGTGTTCAGCCAGCACCTGTGAGAGTTCCGTGGTGGAGGCTGTGTTATCAGTTCGCTCCTCTTTCTGGCTGAGTGGTGCTCCGTCGTATGGCTATTCCTATTCCACAATTGTTCTTTCATTCTCCTGTTACTGGACACTTGGTTCGTTTCTGGGTTTTTAGCTATCACGAGTAAAGCTGTCACGAACATAAGTCTACAACATAAGTCCTTCATGTGGACGTTGCATGCTCATTTCTCTTAGTAGATACCTGGGAGTGTAATTAGAAGCCTACATTTTTGATTCATATATTTAAAAAAACATAGAACTGTGGTAATATAACCTTCCTAAAGTAATTTTCCTTATAAGTTTAGGAAAAGTTCACAGGAGAAGAACCTAAATCTTTAGGTAAAATAAAGCTTTATTGGTTATTAAAGGAATACTGTAACATTTCTTGTAAAGGTTTAATGGCAGACGTTTGAACGACACTTCATCTTCATAGTCTGGCAAATTATTTAGTTTGCTCTCCACTGCAGGCCAGGGAAGTAGAAAGGCAGACAATACATACTGTCCTACCCATTTTATAGTGAAGAAACCAACTCGGCACAGTGAGGTGACTGGCCCAGCTCCCACAGGAGCGAGAGTCGATGCTGCTGGTCTGAGGGCAGCACACGGAGTGGCAAAGCTTTAAGCTCTTCCACACGCGGCTTCACTTTCCCGGGAGCATCAAGGTGTTTAAATCACGCAGCTAGGAGTACGATTACAAGAGGAGATGCTATGTCAAAATGAAAATGCATTCATCCAGATATATGGTTTTACAGACAGTAATTATCTTGGGAAATGTATTCTTATTCACATATATGCTGCCCAGTTATCACTTAATGTGACTGAATATTCTCTGAACTCTTTTCCTGGTGTCAAAATAAACTAACAACAAAGATGTAGTCATGGAGAAGGAGGCAGGCTCTGGAGTAAACATGAGATAATTCTTTAATGTCTTTGTTGAAAGTTAACTCAGTTTTGAGGTCTATTAATGAGACTATATCATTCCCCAGTGTTAAGCGGTAATGATCCAAATTGATTCAACCATTAGAGTACAGTGAAGATTTTTGTAGAGAAACAGTTAAGTTCCAGAAAAACCTGACAGTGAGTGATAGTGATGCGTTTATTAAACTCTTTCCGTTAGGCCCACATAGCTTTGTGCACTGAGCTCCTTGGGGTCCCCGTCTGTACCTGCTCCATCAGCAGAGCTGGTTGGATTCTTGTGTCTTTGTCTTGTGGTTTCATTCGTAGCCCTTCCCTCCACCCAGCCCTCCACTGCATTCTTTCTCCACGTTTTAAAGATGTTTCTGTGTATTCTCAGCACAGCAGCCAGAGTGATCCTATTAAAACCTAAGTCATGTCGTGTCATTTTGCTTTTCAGAACCCTCTATGGTGTCATCTCATTCAAAGGAAAAGCCCACATCCATTCAGTGGCCTCCAGTGCCCTGCCATCTGTACAGCCCCTCTCCCCACAGTGCCGTTGCCTCCCTCTGCTCTTCCCCTCGCTCACGAGGCTCCAGCCATGCTCCTCCTCGTTGTTCTTGAACACACCAGGCATGTGCTGGCCTCGGTGCCTGTGCACTTGCTCTTCTCTCTCTCTGCAAATGCTCTTCCTGCGAACATCTGCATGGCTCTTTCTCTCATTTCCTTTGGAGCTTTACTCAAATGTGACCTTTTCAGTGAGGCTTAACCTGTACCTTTCCAACACACATGTAAATTCCCATTCGCCTTCCTAGCTTTATTTTTTCCCTTAGCGCTAACACTTCTTTAACATAGATGTTTTACCCACTTGCCTTTTGTATCATCTATTTCCTCCACAAAATGTTACTTTCTTAAGGGCAGAGATTTTTTCTGTTTTTTACTGCTGTATTCCAAGCATCTACATCTGCCTGGCACAGAGTGAGTGCTCAATAAGTATTAAATGAATGAGAAAGTAAATGAACTGCATCTCCCTTTCCTCAACACTGCTGCCTTAGGATCATTAAAGTTCTTTTTATATGGAGGGATTATTCTTAGCCTAGCTCTTTTTCTTTTTCTTTTTTTTCCTTTTTGGTGAGGAAAATTGGCTCTGAGCTAACATCTGTTACCAGTCTTCCTCTTATTGTTTGAAGAAGATTGTCCCTGAGTTAACGTCTGTACCAATCTTCCTCTGTTTTGTGTGTGGGATGCCACCACAGCATGGCTTGATAAGCAGTGCATAGGTCCATGCCTGGGATCTGAACTCGCAAACCCTGGGCCGATAAAGCAGAGCACATGAACCCAACCACTATGCCACTGGATCAGCCGCTTCAGCCTAGCTTTTTGAGGCAACTCTTGCTTCTATAGGTTCAAACTCCGGTCTTCATATTTACCTCCTAGCTGCTCTACCCAGCTCTTCCAGTTGCTTTCAATTATTTGTTCTGGAACTTTGAGCATTTTGTATATGTAGATAGATATACACACACACACACACATAAATATATATACACACACACACGTATATTTGTATGTGTGTAAATGTATGTATGTGTATGTATAATATGTATCTATGTATAAAATCTTATCAAATATCAATATCTTTATTGGTCCATAGAAATAATTACTTCTTTTCCTTTTCTGTTAGCTCCACTATGTTTCCAATTTCCATCTTTTCATTTCCCTGAAAACCTTCCATAGCATCCTCCTACATGGGTGCCCATCCTCCACAGAAGATGGCAGCTTCATGAGTGGAGGGATCAGGTCTGATCCCATCTCAGTGACTAGTGCAGCACCTTATAATAAACATGTAAAGGTGTCTGCTGCCTGGTTTGTGAAATTAATATGATGCAGTTAAAATGATATTAATAGACTTTATTTTTTAGAGCAGTTTTAGATTCACAGCAAAACTGAGCAGAAAGTACAGAGGTTTTCACATACACCCCCCAACAAACACACATGCACACACAGCCTCCGTAACCATCAGCATCCCTCATCAGTGGGATTTGTTACATCAGTAACATTTGTTACAACTGCTGGACCAAGACTGCCACATCATCACCCAAAGTCCATAGTTTACATTAGGGTTCCTGCTCTGTTTTGTACATTCTGTGGGATTTGACAAGTGTACAATGCCATGTAGCCACTCTTACAGATAGTATCATACAGAATAGTTTCACTTCCCTGAAAAATCCTCTGTGCTCCACCTGCTCGTCCCTCCCCCCGGCCAGGCCTCTGGCAACCATGGATCTTCTTTACTGCCTCTGTAGTTTTGTGTTTTCCAGACTGTCATATAGTTGGAATCATGCCATATCTTGCAGATTAGCTTCTTTCACTTGGTAACAGTATGATGCAATTCTGAGTTGTCTGGGCATTGTGAAGTTTGATGTCTTTGCCTTTCTTTGACGAAGGATACTCACTGATTGGTGAGGACGGGGAACCTTCTGAGTTTTAGGGGACAGAATCATGAACTGAATAAGTCACTAAACAATGAAATTCTTAACTCTTGGTGATACTTAAGGAATTAAGGGACTGTATTTCCTTCCTGCTATTTTCCCTTCTCTTTCAGCTTGCCATGCAGTGGACGATTCATCTGTCATTGGATTAAAGTATTTGCTTCTTGGTGCCATACACAAATGTCTAGGAAACTCAGAAGACGCTGTTCAGGTAAACTGTTAAATGTTGTCATGGCTAAGAAATATAAACTGTGAAAACCTACATATGTGCTTGTGAATAAAAAAAGTGAAAAAGCGTTAAACAAAACCAGACCTCCCACTGCAATGTGAGCTTTATCCACTTTTATTTGATTCTTGTCACCTTCTCAGATGCTAGAAGCTCATGATGGTTCATACTAGTTTTTAATGTAACTTCAAGTTCTTAAAGTACTTCTTTACATATGGCTTCTTTTCTGGCACTAGCTGTTTATCAAAGATGACAGTCTCAATTGGAGGAGGAGGAAATGAGGATGCAGACAGTTTTGAAGGAGCGGAGTAAACCCTCACAGTTAGATAAATACAAAAGTGATCGGGCGTGTCAGTGTGTGTTCACTTTTGCTCTGACTGCAGATTGCTGATGCAGTACTGGAGGTGAGGTGTGGAAAGTTCTTAGCTTGGGATGTTCTATGTACATAGATGAAAAAGAACCATTCGTTATCTTCAAATGTAGTTGAAGGGATTTTTCTAACCGAGCTTTTGTTTGGTTGGTGTTTTGAATATTCTTTCAAAGAGTTCATTAATAAGAGTACAGTAATAGGAGACTTTGGCTTTTCAGTCCTACAGTGTTGATGCACTGATATTATCATTTTAAATTAATTATTTAGTGTGGGGTTACAGTGGTTATTACATGGCTCTGAATAGCTTGTTTTAGATCATATGCTTAAGTATCAACAAGATACAGTCAAGACACGTGTCAAGAGATGGCTCTTGGCTTGTGTGCTTGCTTTCTGTTTTAAATAATAAAATGGAATCTTCAGACTTTAAGATGCAGATAAAGATGTTCTCAGCAGTAAAATCAGTAGAGGCTAGCGTGTCAGCTGGAAAAATAAGTAGCACAAATTGGATTGACTGATGGGTAGCATATGCTGGAGGAAGCTCCCCAGACAAGCATGTAAAGGACTTCTAAGATATAGATGAGGATGGATGGGAGGAAATAAAGATGCAAAAAGAAATGAAAGTCTGATATAGAATACAGAAATGAGTCCCTCTTCCTGCCTTCTGAAGATGCAGTGAGCCTTAAGTAGGCAAATGAGCCCAAGTAGGGAAATGAATGAATCCCAGTAATATTTGTATTTCTTTCAGTTCTTTCAGCGAGCTGTTAAAGATGAGCTGTCTCGTCAGAGTAACTTGTATGTTCAGCCATATGCTTGCTATGAACTTGGCTGTCTTCTATTAGACAAACCAGAGGTAAGACCTTATGTATTAAATAATGTCCATCAACAAAAATATGCAATGAACAGGCACAAAGCATCCTTCATTTAGAATAAATTAATTGAACATAGTGTTTTTTTGTTTTGTTTTCCTTAATTTCACCTAGGGTGAGTCCAAGAAGCTACTAATCCTATCTTACTATGTTCAAGAAGGTGATTTCTGCTCTGGAATTAGAATTATAAAAGTAACTTTTTGTACAAAAGTTCATTCGAGGGAAAATCATTGCCTTTTTTAGAATGCTGTGATATGCTGCAGTGTGGTTTATTTGGAAGAATACAGAAGTGCGCTGTGATTCTAGCTCTGCCATTTACTTTAGTTTACGATACTGGTTAAGTTACTTAGCCACCTACCTTCTTCCTAATATGTAAAACAGGATAAAAATACCTGCCTTGCCAGTTTAATAAAGATTGTAGTGAGAGTAAATGAGGATGACATGTATGGTTACTTTAAAAATTTTAGAATACCATATAAATTTAAGTTGACAATTACTAAGATGTATATTTAAGTACAATGGGACAGTTTAAAAAAAAAAGATTTCATTAGTGCTGGATTTGCTTGGTACCTTCTTTTAGAAGCTTAATTACACAGTATTGGCTTTATAAAAAGTCTAATTTTTAGTACGTTCAACTCAGCTTTCAAATATGTGAATTTTCTAAAAGTTGAGCTAAATCAACAGAAATATGATTTTAGTCTAACCCTTAAATATGTATTCTATCTTGTCAAAGATAAGCTTTTAATTGGTAAGCCTTTTCATTTGAAATTCTAATTTTACCAAAATAGAAAATGTTATTTTGGTAGAAATTCCAAACACTATATTCTTTATTTTAAGGAAATTTTTACTTTTAATGCAGCCTTAAAATATATACATAAAATATAACAAGACTGGTCCATTTCTTGAATAATGAAGTTGATGTCCTCAATCAGGAATGCCTTCAAAAGGAGATACAAGACTTCAGATAAACGTTTTAATTGTTATCAGTTTTAGATTGTTTAGTAAGAGCTTAACCTAAACTATTATAATTCTTTTAAGTTATTATCCTTTATGGAACAGTAGTGGAGATGATAAAAAATTATTTATCAAGTAATGGCTTGATGTAAATTTCTAAGCACCATTATATTAAAGAAAAACTGAGTCATTATACATGAATGAGCAGTTAACTCACCTATATGCCTACTGTGAGTTGTTTTAATTAACACATCCTCCTAGTATAACATTTTCTGCTTGCGTATATATAAGTTTAGACATTAAGAGGTAATCTGTTTTTCTTACGTTCATAGACTGTAGCAAGAGGCAGAACTCTACTTCTTCAGGCAAAGGTAAGAATAATTGAATCTTCCTCTTTCCAGTGGCTCTTCTTAGCCTTTGGAGTGTACACTTGAGTCTGAATTCAAGAAATTTTGTGAAATGATTGTTCTGATTGATATTTCCGGAAAGGAAAAGTAATAACTAATTGAATCACTGAGCACTTGATTTTTAAGTGAAATTACCGGTATCATGAGAAACTCCTATGAAATTGCTCATCCTGCTTTATAAGTACTCTTCTTGTTTGAGTGGGAAAGTAACTTTTGATTTCATAACTACGTTCATTTTTTTGTGTGTGTGAGGAAGATTGGCCCTGAGCTAACAACACCTGTTGCCAGTCTTCTTATTTTTGCTTGAGGAAGAGTGGCCCTGAGCTAAAATCTGTGCCAGTCTTCCTCTATTTTGTATGTGGGACACTGCCATAGCATGGCTTGATGAGTGTTGTGTGTAGATCCACACCCGGGATCCAAACCCGCAAACCCTGGGCCGCTGAAGAGGAGCATGTGTACTTAACCACTACACCACCAGGCCGGCCCCTCATAACTATGTTCTTGAATTAAGAATTTCTTTTTTTTTTTTGAAGATTGGCCCTGAGCTAACATCTATTGTCAATCTTCTCTATTTTCTTCTTCTCCCTGAAGTCCCCCAGTAAATAGCTATATATTCTAGTTGTGGGTCCATCTGGTTGTACTGTGTGGGACGCCACCTCAGCATGGCCTGATGAGAGGTGCTAGGTCCGAGCCCAGGATCTGAACCAGTGAAACCCTGGGCCACCAAAGTGGAGTGGGCACACTTAACCACTCAGCCACGGGGCCGGCCCCTAAATGAAGAATTTCTAACAGCAACTTATATCGAGCACTACTTAAGACTGCCATTTCAGGAATAACATGAAGAAAATTTTCCAAAGATGGCAGTAATGACACTCAGTTGACATTTTAAAAATGAACACGAAGTTTGAGGTTTGGAGAACCAGAAAACCAAGTTGCTGTGAAGCCTTTAGTAGGAGTGTGAGTGCTTTTATTGGGGAGTCCCACGCGTAGTGTGGTGTATACTGCAGTCTTTCAGAAGGCTGAGCTGGTAGAGACCGTAAATATCTTTCTTTGGTCTTACAGGAGGATTTCTCTGGCTACGACTTCGAAAACAGACTGCATGTCCGCATCCATGCTGCTCTGGCCTCTCTGAGGGAGCTGGTTCCTCAGTGACAGACCCGGAGTTCCCGCTCTGTCCCTCCGCACCCAGGTTCTGCACTTTAAAGTAAAAGCAGAGGACACGGCTCTTAGGAAGATCAGCTTTTCTTCTGAAAACCGCCCATACCAGGGACACACTTTCCCAGTTAGGCTGACATATTCAAGATCTCCTCTTTTAAACATATAGCTAAAAAGTAAAAATAATGATGTTAATAGTGATACTAACTAACCACCTGGGGAGAGGGGTAAGTGACCTTGTTCAAACATTTTAGTTTTGTGATTTATTATTTTTAAAATAAAATCAAACTGAATATTCAACCTGTGATCTTGTAGGAATGCCTACATTAAGCACATATCTGATTGGGAAACACTAAGAGGTCCCTGTAAAATTATTAACAATATCATGACATAGCATTTATATTGTGTTTTGAAAAAATAAAAGTGCTTTCTAGTGTTTTACTTTATCCTCAGACTATTCCTGTGAATAATATAGCACAGATATTCTTATCCCCATTGTCCGGATAGTGAAACTCAGGCACAAAAAGGCTAATTGACTTATCCCAGGTAATTATTCCTTTTATCAGTGGAGCGATGAATAGAATGCAGATCTCCTGACTGTGGACCGAATATTCTTTTATTGTAAAAAATATATGTTAATAACCCAGAATTCCATGTTTTCCTTATTAAAAAGCAAATGCTCTTCAGCTGACGTTGTGTCATCAAAAATACCTATCTCCACATTGTCTACAAAATGTTTCAAAGTGAGAAATACTTTTTTCCTTTGAAAGCCAACCAAGTGGAAGCAAATAGAGGATAGTTTTACAACCGAAAGTATAACTGTTTTGATAGTTTATTAGAAAGCCTAGTCTATAGACTAGATAAATAATACCTACATTTTAGGAGTTTCCTTTCTTTGTGATAAATTGTCTAATTACCAACTTTTAAGTTACTTGAAAAGGTTGTTCTTGAATGAACATAGGTTTTTTGGCCTCAAAATATTTGCTGGTGAGGATTTGTTGGGCTATCTGTTACCAGGATTTAATCATTTTCTCTTTAGCTCAGGTTGTTCAATATTATAAAAGGAGTTCCAAGTTATTTTTTAATCCTTTTTGCTAATTTTTGTTGTCATTTAATTTACCTCTTTGTCCAATACTGCACACCTGTGGTTTTGAAGAATCTAAATACCTCAGTCACCTAAGAATTTCTGCCATAATTGTGTGACTAACTTGGCTCAATCTTAAGGTTATATCTCTTTTTTTTAACTTATATTGAGCTAAAGAGTTTCATCTTGGGATGTCATTTATTTGTATATCCTGTTAGCTGAAGCATGATCTTATGCGAGGTTAATACTTTTATATTTATTTTCAAAATAAAACATAGGAGGAGTAGCTAGAATGTTGGCAGCTTTAATCTACTTAATCTGGTTTTGAGGGACTGATAATTTCTTTGAAAGAAATGATTATTCCTCACTGACTTTGACTAAACCGTCTTCATGTCTCCTCACTTGCAAAGTGTTTATTCACGTTGACTTTCTGGTGTGAATCCTGCAGGATTTTAGACACTAGCCAGAGAGAAAAGATTGCTATCCTACGTTCAGCGAAAGAGAGATCCAGAAGCCAACTAGATGCTTTCTAAAGAGAAAAATTGGTGTCTAAAAATATTGGATACCTGGTTTTATTGAGGCTGAAGGGAAGAACATTAGGAATCTTTAAAATATGGCTCTTGCCATTTTGCAGTCTTCTTGACTATAATATATGTGGCAAACTTCTCAGTTATGATTATGCAACATTCTGAATCATGAAGTTCTTCAGAGTTTGTACTTACTTTAATTTTCAGTTCAAATATTATTCAAACTATTTTTCAGTATTCAAAGATTACAGAAAGCCCTGTACTTCAGAATTTTTTTTAAAAAAATTGTGCTTGCATTAACTACTTAAAAAAATTATTTTTATTTCTCCAGAGAAAATTCAGGATTTCAAATAAGTTTGTATTCAGTTCACTTAACTGAACAGATAACTTTATAACACTGTCTGCTAGGTTTTCTTTAATAGTTAAAGAATACGTCTGTTTACAAAGTCCCGCCTAGGTTTGGTGCAGGATGGCCCCTGTGGTTTATCTGTGTTAACATGGTAGGAGAACGTGGAAGGAGGGGTCTATGATGATTCTAAAGACTCTCAAATAACAAAACCACAGTGTGAGTACACTGTACCATTAGATTGACTGAAATCGGAGTACATTTCTGAATCGCGTACTTCATAATAGTTATCTGGCCTGTGTGCTGTGACTTATCCAACCTGTGGACTACTGTGATCCGCCTGGAAACTTAGTTTGGTGTAAATTGCTCTTTACCCTTTGCTGATGAAGAAAATAATCATCTAAGCGGAACTATTTGCATCTATCTGTGCTTTTTATGTTGATATCACTCACTCCTTCCCCTTTCCTATTTTGGAGGCTCTCTAATAGATCTTCTAATTTATAAGTATCAAATATATTTTTGTATTAGATTGTGCCTATGATGAGAGAAATCTCTAATGTATTTTTATGTACTTGGAACACATGATTTGACACACTTGGAAACAGTCTAATAATAATTTAAGATGTACCTTTGTGGTTAATGTATTTAAGATCTTTTATTGGGTTAGGTATCGTTTTGATTTTAGCACATGGTAGTTAAGTACTTGACTGAGTAAAGAATTGTTACTTCTAGATGTCACAGAAAATTAGAATATTTATTGTCACATATAAGTTAATTATTTACAGAATTTTCACTTTCATATTTCCGCCAACTAAGATTAAAGGACAACACATATCTGATTTTTAAAATACACATACACATAAATGTGTGTTTTTGTGTGTGTGTGTATAGTCCTTTGCTGCGTAAACTTTCCTACTTGATTGCTTCTTTCAGCAAATTGTGGTGGCAAGTGTTCAGGTATGACTCTGTACCTATGAAGATGTACGTTCACACAGTCATGATGTACTACTGTTTGGTATTTCTTATATTTCTTTGGATCCTGTTGGTAGTATATTTTGTAGGGAAAAAAAAATGCTAAGCCCAGATCATCCCAGGAAGATAAATAGTAGCAGGCATAGACTTAGGAACTAGGAAGAGGAAATACAGAAAGAGAAAAGGACGGGGGAGCAAGAGCGCGGACAGTGGGTCAATAAAAGATGTGCCCCTTCTTCAGTGAAGTGTGCAGAAATCACCCAGTGCGAAGTGTCATTGGCTTTCTTGTGAAAACTTCAAGGGGGCTGAGCTCTATCTTCTAGCTGACTTGGGTATGAAATAGAAGTGACCCACGGTCGCCCAGGTGAGCTGTGTGTCATCCTTCCTTTTTCCTCCCACAGGCCAGTGGTTCTCACATTTTAGTTCTGCAGATGGATCACTCTGGAAGGCATTTTTAACAAGCTCCTAGGATGATTCTAATGCAGGTGGTCAAAATCAGAGAAACATTGCCCTAGGTTATCATCTTTTGGTAAGTATTTAGTAACTCTGAGAGAAGAGTCAAAAACAGAATTATATAGCAAGGTTATGCTCAGTCATCGAGTGTGTGTCATGGGGCCGCTGAGCTTCTAACTTGTTGGTTTCCTAAAGTAGGAGATTCCTGAGCTAAGTTTTAAAGGAGAAGGATGCACTCAGGTGAAATGATGGCTAGAAAGACATGTCAGGCCTTGGACCTGATGAGCAAAGGCACAGAAGTGACGAATAGCATGTGTGTTTAGACCTCGTCTCTAGAGAGTCAAATGGGAACCAAGTGGTAAGATAAAATAGGAGAGTTTTGCAGAGGTCACACACCAAGAACCTTGGGCTTCTATCGAGTAAGGTTTTGGGGGCAGGTGCGGGGGGAGGGCAGGGAGCAATGGAGAAAAACTAGATTTGCATTTCAGTTAGATCCCTAGTGACTGAAAGGGAGATGAACACACGGATGAAAAGATTGTAAAACCACATCAAATCATTAGGAGTTCTAGAAATCAAAGCAGCAAATAGTTGTTTGAAAAGTTTTGGTTAAATGTTTTCACTCACAATTTGCATTTTAGAGAGACTTGGACAGTCATTGAAGAAATGCGGAAAGAATAAAGGCTTGCCTTTTGAGTTACAGATATTCTGCACGATACGTAACATCTAACTGGTGTTTGAGATGACCTACCAAGGTTAGTTAGGCTACACAAGCATAAATGTATCTAATTCCAAAAGATACCATAAATAAAATCTAACGTTTGTACTTGGGTTTTTTTAGTAGGTCGCTTCGTTACACCTTTGATAGTAAATACATTATAAACAAAACTGTCAGAAATCATGAAAGCCTCATTTCATTTTTATTTACACTACCAAAGTGGGGCTGGGGCAGTGATGAAGGACAGAAAAAGACCACCTGCAGACCTATCATCATACACATAGTCTAAAAGCATTTCTCCTTTTAAAATGTAATTTTCATGAGAAGAGGGAGCTTATCTGCCACATAATGGACACTCAGTAATAATTATTAAATGGATGAATTAACATCCCCAGAAAATGCTGTGTGCAGCGTAGATGTAGGCTGGGCTGCAACATTGCCTGTTATTCCAAAGTGCTCTGGAAGCCTTAATGTTCTTCTGAATTTAAAAGTTTGTCAGATATATGCCCTGATGATGTTATTTAACGGTTGCTTTACAGTGGTTCTTGCTGCTTTTTAAACTTTTGAAAATGGACTGCAACGAAGGCTGCTTGGAATCTGATAACTAGACTATGGGTTAGTTCATGCCCAGTACAGAAATGTGAGCCTGAAGCACAGAGCGGGTATTTTAAATGTCACCGTTCCTTTACTTTGGTAAAACTGAGCTGAAATCACACCCAGTACTCGTTGACTTGCAGGCTGTTGCTAATGGTACAGTTTGGGGAGGAGAGACTGTGCCCGAGGTATTGCAAAATCCGAATTACGGAGCAACAGGAACCCTCAGGATTAATGCCAACTTCTCCTTCCACGGGCGAATTTCTCAAGAGGAAAAGTACTGTGTTGCATAAAATTATTCATTCTCTTTATACTAGTGTTTGTGTGTACCCAGAGGCAGAAGCTATTCTTCGAAAAGGTGACTCAGGACAGTAACAGATTACGGGGGTAGAGGTAGGGTGAAGAGGAGAGGCAGTGGCGGCAAGAAAGAACTGCCATAAATCTATTTCTCTCTCCTTCCAAACCAGCTCTTATTTTAGACTGAGTGACCAAAAGCGTGGCCTTGAGCTGCTCCGGACTCCCGGCCTCCTGGAACCGCCAATTCCCCTACGCCGGTGCGTATGCGGTCCGAAACCCGGCAGCACGGCTCTCGTACGCGCGGAGTTCTGGCCTTTGTCCCTTCCGGCTCCCCATTGGCTGGAACGGCCGAGGCCCCGCCCCCTCTCGTGGCGGTCCCGAGCCTTCCGCGAGAGGGCGGGGCTTTGTGACGCATGCCTTGACGTCCCCAGGGCTATAAAGAGGACCGCTGGAAGCGCGCGCTCCTTCAGGAGCCGCCGGCAAGGGAGCAAGGAGGAAGGTCGTGGCCGGATAGGAGAAGGTGGGGCCAGTCTGGAGGAACGGCCCGCCCCTGCGGCCCCAGAGGCAGTTGGGCCCTCGAGGCCCCTCGCGCGTTGGGATCAGTGGACGGTTCCTCAAGTGCCGGGGAAGGTGGGGGGCCGAATTGGGAGGCCCGTGGGGACGGGCGGGCCCACACCGGCGGGTTTTTTCAGCAGCCTGCCAGCAGCCAGGGCGGCGGAGCTCCGGGACCGGGCCGGCGGGACCTCCGCCTGCTTCCTGAGCTCGCGGACGCAGAGTCTGGACGCCCGCTCTTCCACATTTCACTGCTGTCCCCGCCACACAGATCAAACGGCAACCCGAGCACAGCCCCCGCGGGGCCCGCAGACCGCAGCGTAGGTCCTTAGGGAGTGAGTGGTTTGTCCCGTTTACGTTTGCGGTGGCTTCGAAGCCCCCGCTCTCGCATCCTCAGCCCAAGGCACTGTTTTCCTGCTCAAACGTTATCGCTGTGGTCGTGGGTAAATGGACGTTCACAGTTTGGCGCGGGGGGTGTAAAATTTGCTAGTTTTTTTTGGCAAATATTCATTAAAGGAGAGATTTGGGGAGAATTATTAAGCTTTAAACAACCCAAGTGTCTACGTTTGTGACTTTTCCCGTTGATGTAGTTACGCCTGGTGTCACGGTATTTCTCAACTTGCTCAGGACAAATCTTTGTATAGGACTGCGTTGTAGGACGCTCAGCATCCCTGGTCCTGAGGCGCTACGTGGCCCCGCATATTCGCAAGTCCGGGGTAGGATGGGGTGGGCGGGCGCACCACCTTGGTTGAAAGCAGTTAGGATCACGCGGGGCCGCTCTCTCCAGTTAGTAGCACCAACTGGTAACTGCCTACAGAAAGGGTGTTTTGTTAGCTCCGTCATGGCTACTACTAAGCCACTTTCTAAACATCTGTCTACTCACAGTGGGGTGTAAAGGATGTACTTTTTAAAAAATTATACATACATATGTATATATAAAATATATGTAATTATATGCATCATACGTAGAATTACTGCCTATGTCCCTTAACATTTAGTATGTGGGCCTGTCAGAGATGCCATTCTGGCTTTTTAAAGATGGTTTAATTCAGTAAAACTCCGGTTTGCATGACACTCTGATAGTAAGTTTTCATTAAGGAATTCTATACACTTAAATATATTCTCAAATGGTTTGCTTTGGCCTATACAGATTCATTTTTTCCTGACTTTTGAAAATATGAAATGTGTTTTTGTATATTCAGCGTTTTGCTATGACACATTAGTTGCATTTATTAGAGGTCGACCCCTTGTATAATTGCTGTAACTAAACTGTGCCACTTAGCCCCATGAAACTCGTTATTCTCTTTACTGTGGGGATGTTGCTGAGGACATGGTTCGTTATCTGACACTATTCTCCACTTTGTGAAGACCCATAGGAGAAATTTCTCATGAGTCTCAGTGTCCAGAATAGCTGTGATTCTCCCAAGCAACTGATTTGTTTTCTTTTCTCAGGAAACTTGGATCATTTAACCAACTGTTTCCTACTTTGTGATGGCTGCTTGGTAGCTCAGGGCTGATTTGACAGCTTGGAAAAGCCAGTGCCCATGTGGTTTGGAAGGATGTTGTTTGGACACAGATAAATGAGATTAATTTAATTTCCTTGAAATTGTACTGCACAAAATATTTACTGAATTTTACAGAAACAGGTTTTGGTTGTTTGGTTTTTTATTCATTGTTTTTAATATCATCCTGGAGTTCTTAGCAGGGCTTTTCCCGTGGACTTCTTTAATAGTACTAGATTGCTCATCTACACGTAATAAGCTAGTGGTAGTGTGGTTTTTTGTAAATTACCATCAATAATTAGCCCATTTTACTAGAATAAATACCTAGAGATTAGAAGAAAAATTAATAATTTTAATAGGAGACAGATTTGTTCTTAGAAAATATAATTAACTGGTGAGAAATATTCTAATATACTAATATACTATTTATAAGACTTTGTTTTTCTTCATTATAGTTGAGATTACAGACATCCTGCCAAAATGATTTCTTCAAAGCCCAGACTTGTCATACCTTATGGCCTCAAGACTCTGCTTGAAGGAGTTAGCAGAGCCATTCTCAAAACCAATCCGCCAAACATCACCCAGTTTGCAGCAGTGTATTTTAAAGAACTTATTGTGTTTAGAGAAGGTTTGTTATTGCCTTAGATTACATATTTGTTGCTTTGAAAAAGAAAGCATTTTAAGTTGGAAATTATATGTATCTGATTTACTGTATTTATTCCTTCAGGGAATAATTCTCTGGATATAAAGGATCTGGTTAAACAGTTTCATCAGATTAAAGGTAAGTACCACAGTGGTAATAGTTTAATAATAATAGTTATAAATTATTGCATCATTACTAGCATGCATTCAAACTTGATGATGCCCTCAAATATTTTGTGTTTGAATAATCATACTGATGCTTTATTTTTATTATTAAATCAGTTTTTTAAAAAATTAGAAGACTGACTTTTGGAGGATTCTAAATCTTAAAAAGACAAAAATAGGAATCACTCATCTTTTGCAAACCATTTGGTACAATAAGACCTAGAACAGTGTGTGTAAACTATGACTCAGACTCTTTCCAGTATGCCCTGTCTTTAGGGAAGAAGTACAGTGTATTTGAAGAAAATTGTATTTTGTAGTAATAAAGGCTCAAATTATAATGAGATACATTACTTACCAAAGTTCTGTAAACACTCTTCTTGGGAGATTAAAGAAAAGGTTCACCACCCCCTTTTTCTTTCTCCCCATGATACTTTAACTGCAGTGCGGGTGGGAGGACAGGAGATCAATTAGGTGTCATGACCATCTTTTCTGTTCCACAAGTCTCTCTGTGTAGTGAAGAGAGAAGTTTTTCGTAGAAGGTCGTCTCCTCTGGCCTATCTCTGTGACATAGGCTGTATATCTCTGTGTATATGTGTAAATGTCTATCTTATGTGAATGTGCAGCATGCAACTGAGTTGACAGAGGAGCAATGAAAAAATCAGAGGGAGAGAAATGAGAAAGGCAAAGTTGACAGGATGAAAATTTGGGACTATCGCTATAAGCAAAAGAGGATAAATTGGTCAAATCCCAAGGACAGACACACATATCTAAAAGAATGGTAACAAAAAGCTTTTGGCAGGATTTTCTGGAGAAAATGGAGACTCATGGTCAGTATGGAAAATACCTAAATAATAATTGCTACATTGGCTGGCTAACATCTTAGAATGATCATAGAGAAAGAAAAGATCTGATCAATGAGTTTCAACTACCTTTATACTCATCCACGTTGGTGATGTTAATAGATAAAATAGCCAAGATAGGGAGAAATCAGGAATAAGACTTTGGAAAATATAAAAATCATGAGGGTTTGGATCTGCAGTGAAAGAGACACCCAAAACAGAAAGCAAGATTAAGAGCAGCAAGAGTCAGCCTTTGAAGGTTCAGAAATATTCTATTGTGTAGTCTGGCTGCTTCCCTGCAGGGTCTTGGCAGCATTCTCAGCCTACCATGGGAAATAGGTCTAGGATTTGCTTACCACCAGCAGGATATACAGACAAGTGCTAGAACACTGACCACTCTCCCCCTCCCCATGAGCCTTGTTTCCCAGGCAGTCAAGGTTAATATGGCCTTTGTACTTGTATCTTCTATACCAGGAGCTATGTTTGAGAGGATTGGGAGCGTGCAGGTTTGCTATGTTTGAGAATCACGATAAAGTCAGTGAATCTTTATGGTGAAAGGTAACTAACTGGTAGCCTTTGAGGCCAGTTTGTTTACCGAAGAATTTACCCACCATTCGACTTAGCAAATGGACTAAACTAATGTGGATTTTGGTCCAGCTGGTTTAACATCTTTGAATCTCAGGCTTCAAAATTAACAGACTGAACTAATGGAGTAGCCATACTTTCGATGGAGCCTCAGGGGTAGGAGATACTGCTGCTTTTTTCCTCGAGTAACTACAGATATCGAGGAAATTGACATAGATATATAGATAACGCTAAAAGCCAACTCATAGTATGGCTGTAGAAACAGATTGCTCTTTAGATAGTAGAGTAAAAACGAACTCCTTGTTCTAGTTTACCTGGGAGATGGGAAGTAACATGAAGGTATGACCAGAAAATACAGAGTTCAGTGTTACTGTCTAATATTGCTTTGGCTCGTTTATTCATCTGCCTTTTATTGTCGTCTGAAATGGTTTCTTAATGGACAAACCATATCCGTTAACTTGGGTTCTATCATAGAGACTGCCTGAGTCCAACTATATCCAGGAAAGCATCACTCTGGGCTAAAGAGGGACTATCTGGGGATATACAGGCACCATAACGTTCCCACTTGGTAGGGCATTTCCTCCCCTGAGTGACATCCTCCTACCTTCTGACTGGTTTAATTCCCCAACTGCTATTCCTGTGGGAGTTCTAAATAAATTTGGCTGCATGGTTGTTTCAGTTCTAGACAATAAAAATGTAGTTATAACAGGTGGTATCTTTTCCTTCCTCTAAATAGAACTTTCTTTATGTGGATCCCAGTTTTAAATATGGATGGTGGGCATCTATAATAATCTACATGCTCTGTTGGTCCCAAGGATTATGGCTCTCCCAGGCTTTCAGTGACTTGCAATATGAGGAAATGGACCATCCTTTGACGACTGAGTCGATTTACTCTTATTCTGGTCTTTCAGTCTCTTCAGCAAGAGGCTAGATCAGCCTAAAGACTGCACCAGGTGTTGGAACTTGGTGATACGGGCAAGAGCTAAATTCCTAGTGCATTGGTCCCCACTGATCTCCCAGATATCAGATATTAGCATGAAAGACGTGTGTTTCATAAGAATCTTCCGTGGGGATGCTGTATCCTCCAAAGTTATTCCCAAACTGGTCATTCTCTGCCAGCAGCATTACTACGAAGCTGACTATATGCATGAAAAGTGTGGAGATAAGTACATCCTGCATATATCATTTGTTTTGTTTGAATACTTCATTCTGTGATTTTTCCCAGAAGGAGCCCAGTTTTTGGTAGGGGCCTCTAGGACCAATAGTGGTTATCCATCTCCCCAGTGACTTCAAAATTTCATTCAGAGGCAGGTGAGGGAGGAGAAAAAGAACCAGACATGGAAGCAAACTTTTCTCACGTCTCTGTTGTGTCTCATTTTTTCCCCCATTTTCCAGAGCCTAGGATCTTTAGAATGGTTTCTGGCTCTATCCAGGTCTCCGTTGTGGTATTTCACCCACATATGCCCATTTCCAAAGCAACTCATGCTGTGAAACACTTTCTTGGATCCTCCTCTTGTTTTTCTGCAATTTGATTAAACAGATCTCACTACCATATGAATCTATGAATCCAAATAAATCATTGATTAAGGGGATTGTAGATACTCAGGCAATATTTTAAGGCAAAAGAGTTGTCTCTTAAGTTCTATCACCTAGGATATGCTAGGAAAAGAAGGAAGAAGAGGACAGAATTTATTGAGTACCTGTTTTGTTCTAGGCATTTACAATATATTTTGTCGATTAATTAAGACAACTTTATAAGGTAGGTGACATCATTGCAATTTTGCTCAAGAGAGTTCTGATGCTTGGGAATGATTAAATAACTTGTAAGCTTCCAAATATTAAGTAACTGGTAGAGTTAGGATCTATACTTAATCTTCCTAGTAGCATGAAGATGTTCCTAGTAGCATAACTCATGCTCTTTCCACAACATTCTAGGATCCCTCTGCAACAACCTTAAATTCTTGAGCTGAAAGAGTGAAGGGAGAGGAATTTCAGCTTCCTTTCCTCACATTATCTTGCACTATTTCACTTCTTCCTCCCCTGTCACCTTCTTGTGTGGAACCTGAAGCCTAAATTATGCTAATTTCTAATCTTTTCACCACTCAGTGAAGAGGGCAATGATTTCTCCTTCAGAGTGGCAAAAGAGATCTCAGCAGCGCTATCATCTTCCATCCGGGTAAGCCTAATTGAGTCCAGTTTCCGGCGTCAGCCCTGTCTTGGCTTCCAACAGAGGCAGGAAATAGCCATCTCTTATAAAGAATCAAGAAGGCCTAGCCCACCTGGATCCTCATCTGTTACCCTGTTAACTTTTCTAACTGATGCTGGACATTCTTTGCTTGGCCATGTAATAGAAATTATAGTCATGAACTGCTGCCGCCCATTGGGCCCAATTTCAATTGCTCTGCAGCATCACAGCAATTATGCATGTCATTAAATATTGTCTTGAGTTATTCATGTTAAATATTCATAATAAGTAATGTTTTTAGTTTAGTTCTTATGCCAAATTCTATTTTTCTGCCTTATATAGTTGGTTACACATACTTGTGGCTCTCCGCTCTTAGTAAAGAAACAAGGAATATACCTATTTCAGGACTACCCATGCTAAATTTTGAGAGGCTCTGGTACTACTTCATACTTTCCTGGGCATTTTTTTCAAGTAAGGCTAAACTGAGTCCTTAAACAGGGATGGGTATTGTGCCAAAATGACCCTTTTATTTCTTGAAGTCTTGCATTTGCCTAGGCAGGGTGGTAATTTGTACCAAGGTAATAATTTAATTAAATTTAAAAATGGTTTGAATGATTATCTGGTGATGTTCTTGGGATGGGGGCTAGGTCCTTTGTGCTTTTCCATTGTGGTAAGGTTATTCACTTGGGGAATAGTCCATAATAAAGAAGGCAAATAAATCACTGAGAAAATGGTATAGTCAAGATTTTGGGTCAGATTGGCAGACTAGGACAGAAACACAGGATCAGGATTAAGAGAGGAGGGGCCTGGGGTGGGAAGTAGATATGGCAAACCAGGGAAGCTGGAACAGGAAACCAGGTTGCCAAGATCAGGAACACTAAGAGACAAGAGTCAATACATGAAGGAAAACATCTTGGGCCTTGTAAGTTAAGTGTATCACTCTGCAATCAAGAAACTTTGATAGCTCTCTATTTTCACAACATCCAAACTCTTCAGTGTTGTAGGGATACTTTTGAAAAATATTAAACTGGTAGAGATTGATTTCAGATAACCTCTAATTGTTCCTATTTGCTCTGTTGATCCCTATCCACTGAAGCATTCATTTGCTTTAGGGAGAAGGCAAATATAGCCTGGAGCAAGGAAGTTATTACTCAGTATTGAGTTTCCAATGTTCGTAGTACAAAAGCTAACAATTTGGAGTTTTGCAGGAATCTGTTTTTGTTGAGAGATTTTCTTGGCATTTCCAGATCTGAGTTTTGATTTAAGAGCCAAAGCTACCAGAATCAAGTTTTTACTTTACATAAGCCATAGAGGAGGGGAATAAAAGATAGGATACAAAGGATATTTCCTGCTGCAAAGGAAAGG